ACGGATCCACCACCAGAAAATCAACCAGAAGACACCAACAAAAATCAACTAGATGACACCCAGAGTGGATAATCAGCGAGGATTCATCACGAGTGATGAATGCGGGCGGGATGTTTAAAGTAGACATGAAAAAACGCCCCCCAACCAAACGACAATTAGTGGATGAATTTCGGACACTTCCGCGGTTCATCGGTACGGTGACCCGACGGTCAGCAACGAGCTTGGGACCCCCCAATTTTCAGTTATCAACGAATGTTCGTACAGTCAACGTCGCCTAATAAACATCTAAACTTTTACGTATAGCTTAACGTGCTTCAACATTCAACGTAACACCGCGAGCGATCTTAACCGACGCGCAACTTTTCGATGTTAATCAATGATTAATTAATTGTCTAAATCGACATAACTCAACCCGTTAAATCAACTCAAAGATTAATCAACGACTTTGTATATTTTTGCACATAATCTCGACAAGTGAATATTAAAACGCAGTGTTTTATACCTCGGTTTTTGTTCCACTTGATCACCCTTTTCCCGACACCCATTTCCAATTTTCCGACGCCCGACCACCCACAAGCAACGTCTTCAACTAAACAATAATCAATGGAAAAACCCCAAAAACCCAATTGTTTAAAAGATAACTGCAAAAACAGTCGCGCCACTAGGAATTTTCGGGAAAATCGCGGGCAATCCCCTTGCCGTTTATCGGATAATCAATTAATTATTAATTATCTCATCACCCGAGAATTTGACAAAATTTTATAAGGAGAACTTTTTTTTGTTAAATCTCATTAACAAAAAAAAAGATTCTCCGATAAATTTTGCTAATTCTCATGGTTGATGAGATAATTAATAATTAAACAATTGTCTCAAAAATCGACGGAGCGATCGCCGTGATTTTTAGATTTTTCGTTAAAAAGGCCCTCTTCATCAATTATCTAATAAACAATGGGCTTTCGGAGATTTTTCCATCGATTATTTTTTGTTGCAAATCGAATTTGCAATAAAAAACATCTTATGGAAAAATGCCGTACGGCCCATCGTTTTTTTTATAAAATTTAAAAACCATCAAACTGTTTGTTGCTGATATTAAATAAACAATAGGGCTTAAGTGATTTTTCCAACAGATTAGTTTGTTGCAAATTCAATTTGCAACAAATAATAATCAATGGAAAAACCCCAAAAACCCAATTGTTTAAAAGATAACTGCTAAAACAGTCGCGCCACTGGAAATTTTCGGGAAAATCGCGGGCATTCCCCGTGCCATTTACCGGATAATTAATTAATTATTAATTATCTCATCAACCGAGAATTTGACAAAATTTTATAAGGTGTAACGGGATTTTCGGAAATCCCGCACATTAAACTAAACTTTGGGTTACGTTCTCTAAAAAATCCTGCCACCTCGACCCTCTCCCGGGAATTCCCCTACTCGTCGAAGGGTGTGGGGACTGGGGCCCGAGTGCTTAGGGTGTTAGGAGGCCTGAAGACAGGCAACAGCACAGGGC